ATGTGTTTGTGTACATGTATATATATGTGTGTGTATATATGTGTGTGTGTGTGTGTGTGTGTGTGTATTATATATATATATAATACAATATATATATTATATATATTAATATATATTAATATATATATATATATATATATATATATATATATATATATATATATATATGTATGTATGTATGTATGTGTATATGCATGTGTATAGAAGAAAATGCAAGATTGAACCAGTGAAGAGCAGAGGTGCCATAGGCACAATCAGAGAGCACTGTATAAACATCAGAGGGCCGCGGTTGTTCAACGTCCTCCCAGCGACTATAAGAAATATTGCCGGAACAACCGTGGACATCTTCAAGAGAAAACTGGACAGTTTTCTAAGAGAAGTTCCGGATTAGCCGGGCTGTGGTGGGTATGTGGGCCTGCGGGCCGCTCCAAGCAACAGCCTGGTGGACCAGACTCACAAGTCGAGCCTGGCCTCGGGCCGGGCTTGGTGAGTAGAATAACTCCCAGAACCCCATCAACCAGGTATCAACCAGGTATGTGCGTGTGTATGTAATATTTACAATTGTGTAATTAGCTTCACAAGATTGTCACTTGCTTAGCTAAACGAACTATTGGGTTCAGTTCCTGAACCCATTTGTGCGCCTCTGTAACCCTTTCCACCATCGGAATGGGTATGGGGTTTATTGTAAATAAATAAAAATAATGAATTAGACCAAGTAAATATGGTAACATAATATTGGATCAGCAGCTTCTCAGTAACGTTACGTTTCAAATTTCCATTCCACATACATCTTGTAAAGGATAATAAAAAACACGTGATTTGGTTATGCGTAAGTATCCACTAGGAAACAAACTAAAATTCCATACACATTATATAGGAATACAGTTCCTTGATACAGCAGTGTTCCTGTATTCCTTCATAATATGTTGAAACGCGAAATGTTCGGAATTTTCGTTTCACTGTCCTAGTGGATACTTACGCACATCTTGTGAAACCTGATATACCTGAGGGCCACTAAACTTAGTGGCCTCGACGAGGACAGGAAGCCGGCGACATGTCGAAGGGTTCAAAATAAAGGACAAAATTCGTCCTTCACCTATGGTAGAGGCCAATCACCCAGCTCATCACATCAACAACTGGCCCCATCACCACAGGTCGGTCCGTCTAATTACCACAAGCTACCACAAACTACACAAACTTCAGAAAGCTTCCTGGCAATACGTTAGTAATGAATAAATATGATATATTTACTCATTATAATGTTGGTGCTGAATGTACAACACGAAAAAACATAATTTTAATCTGAAAAAGTATCTTTTTATAAAGAAATTAGACGAAAATAAAAAGCTGGTGACGCCAAATCAAGTCGACGATCCAAGCTTCGGTTAGGTTAGGTTAGGTTAGGTTAGGTTAGGTTTGGTTTGGTTTGGTTAAGTTAGGTTAAGTTAGGTTAAGTTAGGTTAAGTTAGGTTAGGTTAGGTCAGCCTAACTTAATATATCATATTTATTCATTACTAACGTATTGCCAGGAAGCTTTCTGAAGTTTGTGTAGTTTGTGGTAGCTTGTGGTAATTAGACGGACCCCCACAGGTCAACAGTCGGACCAGCACTCAACCCATCACGGGATTCATTTACCTGATTTTATCTGATATACCTCAGGGCTACTATCTCTCTAGTGGCCTCGACGAGGGCAGGAAGCCGGCGGCTTGTCCAAGACCCCCCCCCCATTTGTTCTGAGTCCGGCTGGATTTTGAAATTTAGTAGCGTTTCGGTATTTACATTGGCGGGTAGACGGTTCCAGGGGTTTATAACTGGGTGAAAAAGCATCTGTTTTCCATTCTACATTGTGGCTTATTGTGCTTAAAACTGTTGCTCCTTGTTTGTTACATCTGACTTTTTGAAGAAGTGGTGTTAATCAATATTCTCCAAATTGTTCAGTACTGTATTTTAAAAGTTTCAATGAGATCAAGCATGTCATATCTGGTTTGTAGTGTTGTTAGCCCTGAAGCCTTCAACAACATTAGAGTAGACATATCAGGACTTGACTTGCTTCAGAAATGATTTTAGTCGACCGACAATGAATTTTCTTCTAAGCAGATACATTTTCTGAAGCCGAGGTCTCCATGCTTGAATACAATAATCCAGGTGGGAGTGCACACAGATTTACACAGCTATACGACTACCTTTTCCTTGAAGACAAACTTTCGTTCGATTATTCCTAGGATTTGGTTTGCATTTTTTATCTACTGCAGCTCTCACTTGTTGCACAATTTTCAGGAATTGATGGATTCTGACTCTAAGGTTTTTTCTTCATAAATCTGCTGCAAACTAATGTTAATGATTTGGTTTTTGTGTCGTGCATTGTTATGCTACACATGCAAGGCATAACACGAGACATTAAACACTCCCTTAGATGATAATCCTGTTTATGCTCACTTACCTTACCCAATCTCTGTTATTGTAACTAAATGGCCTGGGGAGGAATATGAGTTAAGTAACAGCAGTAATTATTAAATGTGAATATTAAATGAGGGACTAATTAGACAGCTAAGTACTTCTTTAAATGCAATGTTTATTTAAAAGAATGTGTGTACTGTACAAAGAACATTGGTTGTACTGTACAAATTGTAGGGACAGGAGTTACACAATCTATGAAGCCACTATTATGCAGTGTTTTGGGCAAAAACATAAAATAGACAAACAAAATTAACACAGGTGTGAGGGGGTAAAACATTTAATACTAAAGAAGACATAAGCTAACAAAATGAGAACGTTTATGGAAAATAATAAATGAATGCAAAAAAAGTTACACTTAAGGATGACAGGCATGCCACACCAATGATGATACTTAAAGGTATTAGTGCTCTCTAGAGTGGTATATTATTATACACTAACAGTCCCATTCAAAACTGGAGAAGTTGCTGATCTGGAGAGCATGCAAAGATCTTTTCCTGTTAGAATCCACCCAATAAAACATCTAACTAAATTATTGGGACCACTTCAAATTTTTTATATGTATCTGAATTACCTAGAGTGCAGGCAGGAGGTACTGTACATAATAATTTACACTTTGAAAATATTAGAAGGACTGGTTCCAAATCTGCACACATAAATAAGACTGCACACAAGACCAGAAGGCATGACAGGACATGGAAAATATCCCCAATGAAGAGCAGAAGTGCAATAGGTATGCTGAGAGAGAACTTGATTACAGTAATATCAAAAGCCCAAGACTTTTCAGCACTCTTCCCCTACACACACATGGGGCATAACTGGCAGATCTCTCACCGAGTTCAAAAGAGAACTTGAGAAGCACCTTCAGAGGATACTTGATCAACCAGGCTGTGGCTCAAATGTTCGGATGAAAGCAGCTGTCTCAAAGAGCCTGGTGGATCAGATCAGTAACCAGGAAACTTGGTCAGAGACCGGGCCGCAGGGACACTGGTTCCCGGAATCTTCAACAGTTAGTCAACATGTAGATAGGAGTCCGTTCCACCTTTTTGTTTATTAAAGTTATTGTACTATCTTATAATTTATCGACCAGATTAACTAAATCTGTCCACACTGTCTAAAGATCAGTGAACTGAATTAAGCCATCTCTCTGAAAATGGAGCACCTACTACCCCACCCCCTGCTACAACCCACTCACTGTCACAACTTACCAGCCTGCCCTGTGACAACACACCTAATTATACCACAACCTACTCATTGCCAAACCCACCAGCATACCCACTGTCAAAACCCACCAGCCTAACCACTGTCACAATCTACCAGCATACCCACTGTCACAAACCCACCAGCCTACCCACTGTCAAAACCTACCAGCATACCCACTGTCAAAACCCACCAGCCTACCCACTGTCAAAACCCACCAGCATACCCACTGCCACAAACCCACCAGCCTACCCACTGTCAAAACCTACCAGCATACCCAATGCCACAAACCCACCAGCCTACCCACTGTCAAAACCTACCAGCATACCCAATGCCGCAAACCCACCAGCCTACCCACTGTCAAAACCTACCAGCATACCCAATGCCACAAACCCACCAGCCTACCCACTGCCACAGCCCACCAGCATACCCACTGCCACAGCCCACCAGCATACCCACTGCCACAAACCCACCAGCCTACCCACTGCCACAGCCCACCAGCATACCCACTGCCACAAACCCACCAGCCTACCCACTGCCACAAACCCAACAGCCTACCCACTGCCAAAACCCACCAGCATACCCACTGCCACAGCCCACCAGCCTACCCACTGACACAGACCACCAGCATACCCAGTGCCACAGACCACCAGCATACCCAGTGCCACAGCCCACCAGCATACCCACTGCCACAAACCCACCAGCCTACCCACTGCCACAAACCCACCAGCCTACCCACTGCCAAAACCCACCAGCATACCCAGTGCCACAGCCCACCAGCATACCCAGTGCCACAGCCCACCAGCATACCCAGTGCCACAGCCCACCAGCATACCCAGTGCCACAGCCCACCAGCATACCCACTGCCACAAACCCACCAGCCTACCCACTGCCAAAACCCACCAGCATACCCACTGCCACAGCCCACCAGCATACCCACTGACACAGACCACCAGCATACCCAGTGCCACAGCCCACCAGCCTACCCACTGCCACAAACCCACCAGCCTACCCACTGCCACAAACCCACCAGCCTACCCACTGCCACAAACCCACCAGCATACCCAGTGCCACAGCCCACCAGCATACCCAGTGCCACAGCCCACCAGCATACCCAGTGCCACAGCCCACCAGCATACCCAGTGCCACAGCCCACCAGCATACCCAGTGCCACAGCCCACCAGCATACCCAGTGCCACAGCCCACCAGCATACCCAGTGCCACAGCCCACCAGCATACCCAGTGCCACAGCCCCCATAACTGTCAGCTAGGAGTGGTGTCAGGAAGAGCAGTTGTGTGAGGGTGTCAGGAAGAGTGGAAGATGAGGCTGCTGCCGCCTACCTTACCTGTCACCTCGTTCTGCATATCGAGGGTGAAGTCACAGAACTCCTGAGACTCCTCCACATCTTTCCCCTGCAGAAGCAACTTTATGTTCCCCTCGACGGAATCCATTCTTATACGCGTGAACTTGAGAATCCTGGAGGAGGGTGAGAGTGGCGGGTCAGAGACTGCCAACACCAGGGAGGAGACTAGAGGCACCAGCTGGACCACACCTGCACCCAGGGGTCCCCGCAGTGCTGCCACACTCTCCCACCCCCACACTCTCTCCTTTACCCCGTGTCTTACCTATACTTGCCTTCATATATACCATCTCAGTCCCAACAGATTTTATTTTATGTAAGCACAAATGAATGATTTAAATTTTAATAGGTGCAGTGTGTTTACATGTACGGTCGCATTTCACAAGTATTGTGAGCAACTTGCATACAAATAATTTGTTGTATTGTTTACTTACAATTAATAATAAAAATGCATTAAAGTTTCCTATATTTTTAAATATAAATTTTCCTATATAAATTTTTGTTTATATATTATAATATATAGGACTGAGAACAGGAGATGCTGTTTCACCCATAGGGTTATAAACCCATGGAACTGCCTACCCATCGGAGCCGTAAATGCCAAAACTCTGTTAAATTTTAAAATCCACCTGGAAAAGCTTATCTTGGCAAATGGGGGGACTTTTGACAAGCCGCCGGCTTGTTGTCCTCGTCGAGGCCACTTGTGATAGTGGCTCTCAGGTAAATTCAGAGGTGTGTGTACTGCGATCTGCGATTACATTAAAAATAGTATTTATAATAAATATTATTTCTCTATTAATTTTGAAATGTTTAAGCATGCCAAATGCATCAAATATTTAATATAATTATATATATAAAAATAAAATAAAAGTGTTTTTCTTGTTGATAATCGAGGAGTGTTGTCATCAGCTGTTGTGAGAAGTACTCAAACACTGGGCGTCTTGGGCTCTTACTCTGCCCTGGTTGAGTCGCGTCCCACCACCAGCTGCAACAACAGAATATAAGTAACACTACAAAATGGTGTGTTACCGGGATCTTGAGCCACATAAACCAGCTTTAGGAAATTAGTGTGGAGGGCTTCTGGTTGTATGGGAATGTCTCAGAACTCTGCCACCAAGAAAAACCTGTAACGCCTGCACCAGTTCATAAAACTGAACCACAGAATCAAAAGAATTATTCGAAAATACAGTACTGCAATAACATTGTAGCAAAATTTATTTAATAAGACTTGATTCTGTTCATTTATTATACAGGCGATACCCATCCTGTGGGGGGTAGTGGGAGAGGTTACGTTGGCATATAATGGGCTCTAGCTGATCCCTAAAATCATTTAGTTAAGATACAATCTGATAAGTATACAGTTCGTGTATAAATCAATAGTTTTTTATAGCACAATTGATTCAAGAATAGGACCACAACAATCTTTAAACTGAGCAATTTACATCTGAACATATTTGGAAATCATTCATCCAACTCCTATCCGATGGGTGGCAGAGGAAAGTTTACAATTGCATGCATGCAATACCTTCAGTAGGCATACTTGTATTTACATATATCTTGAATACAATGTGTAATATATTTCTAAATCCTAAAGTTGTTCATATTCAATTACATACTGACATGAGGTGTGTGAATAGTACTGCTAACAGTTTACATTTGGGCAAATCTACTTCAACGTGTGGTGCAAACTCCCAGGGATACTTAAGGCCGAGCTTAAGCCTAGCAGTATTAATGTCTAAAATTCTGCAGACCCTATTAAGTGACCCATGAATATCTGCCCCTTTCTGCATACCAGTAAGATCATAGATGGAATAACTAGTGTGAATTAAATTTTTTCTGAGGTATACCAAGTTTTGTTACTATATTATCTTCATGCAGCTCAAAAACAATCCATGATGGTTATCAAGTCTCTATTTAAGAGCACGTGCTCTGGTTAACATGTCAGGTTCTGTCATGCAATTGGAGGCCATTGTAGGATGGAATTCATAGAAGATGGGCTTTGATGCTAGCATTGATTATTTGTTTTATATATGTTCATTGTTTCAGACACAAGCATGTCACTGTTTGCCTTGAGAAGTTGAGTGCAATCAAGGATGAGTCACTTAAAATTAACATGCCAGGTTAGATACATATACTCATTTAAGTGAGAGGAATATGGCAAACAATTCTATTTGAAGAGTGTAGGCCCGATTTATTTATACGAGCTCCCAACTCAGAGTAAGAGCCATCTTCACTGTCACAACTGCACTTATGGCAGCACCAGTGAACTGGTGTAGAGAACAATTTGAATAAATATTAGAATGTTCATTTTCCCATGATTATGTACATGTATCTGGAATACTGGCTTTGCAGTTACAGCTTCAGTCTCTCTTACCAATTGAAGCCTTAAGTACCAAGACAATACTCCAGTTCAAAATTAAACATGAAAAATCCTCAGGAATAATGGTGGGATCTTTTGACAAACTGCTGACTTCCTGTCCCCATCAAATGCACACGGGGTGAGAATAGCTTGAGCTACCTCATCCCTTTGTGTGTATTTTACCTCAATAAACTTATTTCAATTTCAATTTCAATCAAATGCATCTAAAAACTGCCCTGGTATTAAATGTTATGACATTACACACCACATGTACCAGTATTGCAGTCTCCGTGGTGTAGTGGTAAGACACTCGCCTGGCGTTCCGCGAGCGCTATGTCATGGGTTCGTATCCTGGCCGGGGAGGATTTACTGGGCGCAATTCCTTAACTGTAGCCTCTGTTTAACGCAACAGTAAAATGTGTACTTGGATGAAAAAACAATTCTTCGCGGCAGGGGATCGTATTCCAGGGACCATAGGATTAAGGACTTGCCCGAAACGCTACGCGTACTAGTGGCTGTACAAGAATGTAACAACTCTTGTATATATCTCAAAAAAAAAAAAACAAAAAAAAAAAAAAAAACATGCACAACATATAAAGCTTTGAATTTTAACTTTTATTTTTGTTGGGTTAGATTAGGTTAAGTTTAAAGTTTAGCAATGATGTAACTGGACATAACTTTTGATAGTTCTTAGACTGCATTCGTTCCCATCAAGGCTACTGGAAATGCTAGCTTTCAGATGAATTTGGGTAAAATTCTTACAAAATAAATTACATTCTTTTTATCATAAATTTAAAGGAGTTATATGGGATTTAATGTTAGAACATGAGGAGGAGGAGTCACTGCAGTGGGTCTGTTGGCCCATTCTGGGCAGTTCCCACCTAGACCCAACTCATCTTCCCAAGTATCTATCATGCCTGTTTTATAAAAGTTGCTGTACCATTTGCCTCTGTGATGTTGAGTGGTAACATTTTCCCACTTATGTGCCATTCTGTTACTAAAAGAGTACTTTCCTGTGTCCTTCCTGAATCTGAACTGTTCAATCTTACAAATTATTACCTGGTCTGATAGCTTAACAGATCTTGTTCATATTTGCATTGTTGATACACCTTGTTCTATTGAAGACCTCAATCATGTCTTCCTTGCCTCCCCTTCTCCAGGTAATATAGGCCAAGCTTTGTAACATCTCACATAAGAAAGGTTTAGTCACCCTATGTTGGATTTTCTTGAGGGAATTGTACAGTATGTCCATTTTATATGGTGGTCAGAATTAAATTTGATTTGAACACTAATAATGTTACATGGCCAGATACAGGTAACTTTAACCTCTTAAACAAGTTACAGATTTACTTGACTTTTCATACTCAACTCCAGATGTAATACTGTATTTTAATAAGTTGTACAGTATTTCAAAGTTTGGTTGCTGTTATAATTCGATGGCTTGGTCATTATTAATTTTTAACCACACTAAAGAATAAGCAATTACGTTTTTTGAGATAAATCCATGAAAATAAACACTTTGCATTCACAAATACATGTACTGTACCAGTGTACCAGTATTGCATGTGTGTACAAAAAAATAATGGTTTCCATTAAAGGATCAATCAAAATGTGAGAGCATAATGCTTACTTATCACTCTTTAAGGCAGATCTTTAATGTAGAATACTTGTCATTGCTTTTAGGTAAGATACAGTGCTATACCTGTAATACAAGTCTAATTTGTTCATATCTGACTTGTAAGTAAATACAGTACTGTTGTACTGTACAGAGGACATCACCCTCATGCATATACAGTACTGTATAAGCAAAAAGTAATTTTTGCATGATATCAGTAAGGGGCTTATGGATCGGTGTAAATTAATCATTCACAAATTATAAAAGTAACATATCTTTACCTTGTTTTCAGTCTGCTCTCTTCAATTTTGAGAGCCTGATGTGTGTGGTGTTGTTGCTGATCTGCACCTGCACCTACATTAGGTCATTTGCGCCTTCTCTACTTGACAGACAAAAGACAGGGTACGTTCAACTTGTGCTTTGATAATTTATATTTTTTTAATTTCCTTGCATTTTTTGTTTTGCTTGAAAAAGAGCATCAGTTGCAGGTAGTTATTATTGAACCAACCTGTCCTCTAGCTCAAGCTATAAGTCAAATACTGACATGCATAAATTTTATTATTATTTGACTTATACAGCAGACAACCAATCGACAGGACTATTTCATACAGTAGTATAATAGCAAATGTTTTTTTCTGAATTGTAAATTAATATTACTAGATATTGTGGGTTTATGCATAGTTAGGTCTAGCTAAAATTAGGTTGGTGTTTTCGTTACATTGATTTAGGAAGTGTTTACATTACACACTGAAAATGAATGAAGCCTGTTCAGTCATAGCTTCAAACATGGTCAAATGTACTATGAGTATACTCTTCAGTTAAATGCTGACCTGTGTAGACTTTAGCAAGTCAGCATTTGACTTAAATATTGTAAACCCAATGGCCCTGTTTTGATAAGTGTATCTAATGCAGCCAATTGTCACCCCCATACTACCACTACTGTACAGAGCTATCATTGAACACACCATTATTTTTTTGCAGATGTTTTTATTTGGTAATTGTCTATTATATTATAGCTTGAAATTAAAATATTGCTAAGTGAAATCAGCCCATGGGGTGAGGGATATGCATCCTGGAGGCATCTCCGGTTGCAACAAATTGGGGTTGGTCCCATATAGTTAAATCAAGGTTGTTCTGTATTATGATAACTGTTGAATTTTACAAACAAGTACAGTATGCTCTATTTGTTAAATTAAATGCTGTATTTGAGATGTTTGAAGATTTAAACTTCTTTGTAATGACTTATGTAACAGTGCCTGTACTATTTGTTTT